CGAGTGATCAACGATGTGTATTAGCACGGCCAAGCCATGTTTGTCTGCAAATTTTCACCATTCAGTCAGAATTGATTAGTGATACAATTTATGTAACGTGCTTTTTAACATGCGCGCTCGCAAATCTTACCAACAAAAACCTCGACCCCAGGCGTTGCAGTCTCCGTAGGCCGCGCGGCGTCAGCTTGGCAGTTAATATTAAGTTGTGGCCAATGTGTGGACGAAAATGACGACGCTTCAGAAAAAGTATTGTTGAACGCTCCATGACATCACAACTTACATTTAGAAGGCGATCGAGCGCATATTTCACCTGTGCAATTTTAAGACTGATGAAAAGAACGATTGGCCCTTAAAGCACCACGAAGTGGGGCTGGAATCTGTTGGCTGAACTGGAAGAGTGAAGGTAGAATCTCTGTTTTTCGTGTTTTATATATCCAGAAGATAGATTAGCACGGCGCCCGCCGTCTGGTGGCACTTGCAGTGGCCGAAACTTTTCGGTTTTACGAAAGCTGCAACCCAGACCATCCCTGTCCTTGCTATCGAGGTTGCGGGCGGGCATATTCAAGCCTTTTGATGTAATTTGTTTCAAACATACATTCTGAAGAAATGAACGTTCTCAGGCAAGCATAGCACGGCCTTGCTCGTTTTTTAAGCTCATTTCGTCCCACCGTATTCAACAATAATGAGACACCCATTTACTCAACAATAATAAGACCCCTTATTTCCTTCCTGGCAAGGGGCCTCTTGAGTAGAACACCAGGGTACGTTACCGTTTCTGGTCAAGGGCTGAGGGGCCATTGCGACCCATCGCAAAGTGTCTTCTGCCTATCATTCTGGTGGCACGGGGCGGGATCTCCTGGTCGATCTGGAGGCCATTAGGAGGATGCATCATGTCACGTTGTTCCCATCCCTGACACGGGAGGCTTTCTGACCCGCGCAGTTGGCCCCGGATCAGCACAGGAACTCTCATTGACGCAGCAACATCCCTGATCACCGCAGGTAGTTTGGTAGTTTTCACAAAGACTCCAGTTCCGTTTTTTTCTGTTTTCTTCAAAGATATCGGCTTCTCCCGATTGTAGATTGTACATGAAATGAGGTTCCTAATTTGTATTGATGTGGTTACCCCATGTTCGCCTTAAAATGCCGAAGATCCTGTCAGAGCTGATCACTGATTAGAAAGTTACGTGATATGGTCTTGAACACGCGAGGTCACAAGTCAGCAAAAACAGCCTCGACGCCCGGCGTTGCAGTCTCCAGGCAGTGAGGCGTCGGTCTTGCGGCTGTAACACTGAGCGATGGCCAACGAGCAAACGAAAAAGATGGCACATTTTAAGGGAGATGGCTGGTGAACTAGGCAAATCAGCATGCATGTTTAATGTAGTGCAAAAGGAAGCCAAATGCAACCTTAGTCTGAAAAGTGGGGGGCCAGTTAACATTGCTACCCCCCCACCTTGAAAAGTGGGGGGCCATGGCCCCCTGGCCCCCCTGTTCCTACGCCCAAGGCGGTAGCAATATGTAAACCTGTTGGTAATGTTAAAGGTACAGGTCTTTATCCATGATTTTAGTGTAATGCGGCATTGGGCTGCCAGTTGCGGGGAGTTGAGTGCTTTGCCTGCTGTCTTCCACTATGCTTGATTGTGTGTGTTGCGTTTCTATAGTTGCACTTGCGAAGACATGTATGAACCTGGTGGTACCAAATATACCATATTATTGTTATGATGATGTAAAGCTGATGCATTTCTTTAATTTGTCTTGACACTGCTTAGATAACAAGCCTCTTTTTTATTTCATGTTCGAAAGCATTTTGAGGCATGAAATATTAGCATGACATAAATGAAAGCTAGCAAACATAATGCTGTGAATATTTATGGATAGGATTGGGTTGCCATCCTATCTGATTACATGTTATGGTTGCTGGGCACTGAATATCATGTCACGTCAATTTTTCACCATCACATCATCTTAGGTATGTAAGTGCACGCAAGCACATTATGTGACGGAGAAATAATTTCCATGAAAAGGATTAGATATGAATTTGCAGCTGTTCCATTGCATGGTTTGAAATACAGGCTTAATAAATTGCTGTATGAATCCAATTATGTCAAAGGTATCATAAAGGCTAGTTCTTTGCTTGAAAGCTGGTTATAACTATAGCACTCTACTTTCTTTGCTTAGATATGCCAGGGACATACGATGAAATTGTCAGACAGGCACCTAAGAGGAAAGCATGGAAATAGGGGCGTCCGCATTCCTTGCAGTGAGAAGAACTGTTAGAAGACTGTGTTGCTGTGAATGGGTATTGGACGAGCAGCTGTGCCACAAGCCACCACTGGTGAGAATTGTGCGTGCTGTATAGACAAAGGATACCGTGACCAGGTCTTTTACTTATGTCCCATTGTAATTTATATTTAGAATAAGGACATTGTATGGCTGCTCCTGGTATCGAGGAAATCATGCTGGAGTGTGTTATTCGTGCATAAATTGAGGTGAGCTGTGCACTAGGTATTGTCTAATTGCTACAAAAAAGTTTACTTTCCTCTATTGCCGGCAAATTGAAGCTTCTACCCCTTTGAAAATTATGAAATCTGCATTTCAAACGAAACATGGGCAGAGTAGTAGCCTTTTATGCAGCAGGTTCAAAATCAATTTCCCTAGCCTGCACATGGCTATTGAATGGCTTTCAAAGGTCAGAGTAAGTTGTAACAAACAACAGGCCGTGGGATAAGCAATCCGGAAACATGCTTGAAATGACTACCATACTGCGTGTCATGTCGGCCTCGTATGACCACATCTTGACATTCTACTTACATCTTGACTATGCAATAACCAGGAAAGTATTGTAGCTGATGTTTAAGCTGCATAACACGATCAACATGGACGTGAAAATATGTTGAATCATAGATCGCATGAATACAGCAGATTATCACACTAACCTATGGAATGACCTTGACATGACCCCATTCTGGCATCTACATGTTCGTGACACAGCACCCTCATTTAACCAAAGAGCGTATACTTTTTGAGAAAATGAAAAGCCTCAACTGACCGAGCCCCTGCAAGCATGTAACGCGGGTCTGCCGGTCTTTGTCCTGACCTTGACCTTTCATGTCAGGATGACTTCTTATCGTTGTTTCTTTATTCCTTCATTTCTTATTTTGGTTCCAGAATACTCTGCATAACTCTGCGGGCGTGTGGCTTAGAAACTAGAAAGGTTCAGGTCTTAAGAAGAGCAGAGCCGTGAACTGCGCCGAATGGTCTTCGATATCGCTATTTCAGTTAAAAAGTCCATACAAATGTGGAACACTCCCTGTAAACTGCTGCAATTGTTTCCTGTAACATTATAGTTACCCATAACTTTATCGAGTGGCTACAAAACAAGGATGGAAATTAAAACGAAGTGTTACTTGTCTTTACTTATACGTTACTTATGTGAGATTGTGGATCAACACTATGCAAACTAAACGGTGATGTGGCCATTTGACTGAATAAGCAAGAAAGCGCTTTTGTTAATTTCAGTCATTAATTGTCTATTTATGGCTCATTTTAAGACTACTCAAGTTCTATCTTTAGGTAATAAGTTCATGAGACATGAATATTTCATAATATTTGACATTGACACATAATTTGAATGTGCATATAAATGAGAACTTATTACACTATAATGTGTCAGTGCCAGTTGTTATCAATTTACTTAAATTGTATTGTTGATTATTGTTGCTAATATTTTAGTTACAACTTAATGCAACTAATTATATCAGGAATTAACAAAAACAGTTAGGAAAAAATAAGCTTTACCGACCCGGCTGATTGGCCCGTAAAAGCTTTATATCGAGGACCAAGCTGACCGGCATTTACTAAGTGGTAATGGAGTGCGGATTACGACAGACCAGGTAAAGGTTAGGCAGACCATAGGATGACTTCAGATGGCCGTGTATTACGCTTCGGAGTAAATGACAACATACATTAACTTGCCTATGCTCACTGCACAATCGCACGTAAATGTAACGATTAATGGAGAAATAGCTGTCTGACCTCTGACCAAAGCTAGCATGTCAGCTGCAGGATATCACAAAAACGGCCCGCTGGGAAGCTGAAGACGGCATGGGGTCTCTGCTCGATCTGTTTCTAAGCGTTTGACTTGAGCCGACACGGGACGGGGATCCGTGGTCGATCCGGAGGCCCTGAGAGGGATACACCACGCATTGTTATCCTCTCTGTCGCGGGAGGCATTCTGACCCGACCAGCTTGCCCCGGATCGAAGCGAGGATCTTCATTGGCGCGAAAACATCCCTCATCGCTTCGGGTGGGCCAATAATTGGCACAGAGACTCCACCAATTCGTTTTAACCGATCACTGGCTGAAATGGGGCGGAGGAGCACCCATTCGGTAATAAGAGACCTGACTGACACCGTGTCCTACCATTGTCGAGCGCTCCAGTGACGTCAGACAATACACTGATCCACGGGATAGTGGTCGCGTCGAGCGCTCCAGTGACGTCAGACAATACACTGATCCACGGGATGGCGGTCGCGCCGAGCGCTCCAGTGACGTCAGACAATACACTGATCCACGGGATGGCGGTCGCGTCGAGCGCTCCAGTGACGTCAGACAATACACTGATCCACGGGATGGCGGTCGCGTCGAGCGCTCCAGTGGCGTCAGACAATACACTGATCCACGGGATGGCGGTCGCGTCGAGCGCTCCAGTGGCGTCAGACACTACAATGATCCACGGGATGGCGGTCGCGTCGAACGCTCCCGGAAGCCACGGAGACGGACGGCGGCGCTCGAGCTCACGGAGACCGGTTGCTGCGCCCTCGGAGCGCGGACTCGACTCACCCGGATGCCGAGTCGACTCTCGACTCTGAGTCACCCGGATGCCGAGCCACTCGCGCCCGAACCTGAGAGGTGGCCGCCGCGGCTCGGAGACCGGCCGCGGCGTCGCCCCGACTCAAGGCCCCACGCGGGCTGCTCGCGGCGCGCCAGCGGTCGGCGCGCGTTCACTGAGGGCGGAGTAGGGCGCGGTGGACTCGGCTCGTGTGGATGGAGCGGTTCCCGTGGCGTTCGCGGCGCACTGCCAGTCGGTGCGGTCGGCGCGTGACGGCGCGGGCTGCGCGCAGGTGCGGGAAGCCGTTCTCGGCCAGCTCGGCCTCGTGCAGGTACTGCGTGTAGAGAGCCAGCATGCTGCCCGTGTTTTCCAATACCAGACAGTTCCTGCAGGGTGAGGTACATGGCGTTAGCCGCGGCGCGCCCGTGGATGCTGCACAGATCAGCATATGCCGGTGTAGAGACCCGCAGAAGGCAGCCGCATTTACATTCAACAGCCATTCAGTGTGGTTTGGCACTGTAAAAGTGACTTATTGCCACTCCTGGTGAACCCGTGGTCTCGCCACGTTGGCTTACGAGGTGCAGTATTATCTGCCGTTTGCGTCATTATATCCTTCGTGGAATAAATTTCACTCCTTTGGTAGCATCAACAGTGGTGGCCAGGCACAGAGCTCGAGTTGTACCTCATCAAGCGTCGCGGACAGTCTTTGTATCGGTGGAGAGTGACCTCACTAACGGTCTCCAGCAGCGGTTGTAGGCTTGTAGGCGAAATGTTCTCCGAGATGACGCAGAGAATGTTCTGGAGGTTACCTGCCAACCTGAAACAGAAACGTTGTCATCATTGATGAAAACAAACAAACCGAAGGCATACAAGAAGCCAGCCGAAATCGATGATGAGCATGGAATGAATACCGTCCCGCAAAAGGTAGTGACGATGACTATCTGGTCAGGTGATGGTAGATTGCACTCTTTTACGCCTAAATCCGCGTAAGTTCTGAGAGAGAGACTCAAATAAACTGACCGCTTTTGCATTGCCACTCCCAATATTGTAAATCCTTCTCACATGTCTACCTACTCAGACTCCCATCCCTGAAAATCGCTTCACTCCCCGTGGCCGCGTCTGGTTGCGCTACTTTCGGTTACGGTTATGTGCAGTTTTATCATGGTTTGGTTACGTTTGTTCAATGGATGTCCCATGCTCAAGAAACAGCACCTTAGCGAGGGAAAGATGGAAGGGGAAAGAAAGAGAAAACCAGAGAGAGGGAGAGAAAGAGGATGCAGCTACAGAGACAGGTATAGCCACAGATACAGTCACAGAGACAGAGATCAACACGGGAAAAGAAGGAGAGAAAGAGAGGGGGGGAGAAATACGGGGAGAGATGAGAGAGAGAAGGAGGAAGAAGGGAGGAAGAAGCAGGGGGAAGCGAGAGAGAGAGAGAGAGAGAGAGAGAGAGAGAGAGAGAGAGAGAGAGAGAGAAGAGAGAGAGAGAGGAGAGAGAGAGAGAGGAGAGAGAGAGATAGAGAGAGAAGAGAGATAGAGAGAGAGAGAGAGAGAAGATAAGAGAGAAGAGAGAGATAGAGAGAAGAGAAACACATAAATCTCCCGTCAGTCGGAAGAGCGACGTACGTGAAGATCTGGTGCATCAGGTCGAAGGTCTCGTTGCCACACGTGTAGCTGGAGTCGATGATGTCTTGCGCCATCAGATTCAGATGTGCGGCCTCGTACAGAGACACACGGAACAGCTCCAGCAGGGCGTGGCGCCGCTGGAACCGGACGCCTCCTTCAGTGCGCATGGCAGCCGCCAACTCCGATTGCCGTCACAACGCATCCGGAAAACTCATTGCGTCCCGGAAAACAAAATAACAGTGATCGGATGCCGTGAACTTTCCCTTAGCGCCCTTAGTGCCTTTGTGCCCCCTCGACAGAAACCCCGACAACGTGCTAGGTAATGTACGCACAGGATGCCTGTGACGTGTTGGCGCACGCGTCCTATTCAGAATCTAAGTGCAATGCGCATGTGTCAAATGACGCATCGGGTCAGTTCGAAGACAACGATAGCTGCTTTATCTCCGAAGCCTGCATCATTAAGTGTTTGCTATGAATCCGCTATTTATAACTTGCAAATATTAAAGCCGGCACAGAATAGTTGAGCGTGGGACAAATCAGTGATCAATTTGCACCAGGTCAAATGATTTGAATCAGAACTGAACAATTAACTGGAGTGTGAATCGATCAATGATCGTAATGATGATCGATGATCGACCGTGTGGGCTAGATGGATTCTTAAAACACGAAGTACACTTTGGATAAGATTTGAATTATTCAACAAAGGCCGCGAATCAGTGGTGAATCGATTCATCTTGCATTGAATTTAGCACATGTCTACTTCCGTTCATCAGCGTAAGTTTTCCGAGCACAATTTTTAACCATGACAGATCAGTTTCGAAAAAATGGGTGCGCTTTCTGATGCCTTAGTTGTTTTAGGGACGTTCTGCGTGATTTGAGTCTCACCTTCTGAAAAGGGAGCGAGAAAAACAATGACCGAGCCAAGGCGCTCCAACTGTAAAGATCCACCCAGCCAACGAAACTGCGTCGTAAAAGATACGGTGCTGATTCGATGGAGTCGATTACAACGACGCGTATTTCGTCCTGCGCCGCGTGCGTCCCCGTCCCGGGGGCGGCTGGCCCTGGGCCCGCCGCTAGCACGAGGCATTACTCACCGTGAGGCCGACCAGATCTGGCATGGACGGCTGACTCTGCAGGTACATGCCGTCGCAGTCCGGCACCCCCTGCGAACAGGGTCAGAGGCTGCCAGTGACTAAGAGCTGGCTCACGCGCCCACCTCTGACAGAACTCTGACTGAATGTCGGACGCGGTGCAGCGGCGGCAGGCAGCGCGCGCTCTGCCACCGTTCACTCCTCCTCTCATAGCAGCTATTTGCGGGGAGTTTGTCAGCACCAGCGGCGTAACCATAGGCATAGCCATTCGTCTTAAAAGAGGCAACAACGGTGCATGGGTCCTTACAGCAACGGGTTTCTCTTGGTCCCTTAAGGACCCAGTTTTTCTCTGCGGATCTTTTTAGGCTATAGAAGCCCTGCGGGGTGCCTTAGGCTGATGAAACGCCCTGGGGTCTTGGGCTCCAACGTAGCCAACGTCACATCTACGGGGGAGGCTGACGCCCAGAGCTGCCCTTGTCACTGGTCAGAGCAGATGCAGACCCTTGCCAGCACAGTTCAGATTCGCAGCCCGTCATTCTCCATTCAGCTGGCAGTAACGCTCCAGCTCGCACTGCTACTGCGAGGAATTGCTTTCCTTTAAGAGCTTGCGGATGACCTCGGCACTCTGCCTGAGCGGTGTTGTGATAGGCTTGTCAGAAAGGCCTAACCGCTGGCGAGACATGTGACCCGCCAATAAAGCATTCAAGCAGGTTAGATAGCATGGAAATAGCATATGCTTAATGTTCTACCTATCAAACGTCATGGCAGCGTATCTCTTTAATGGAGCGGCACCACCGCCCTGCAGCGCGAGAAAATTGTTGGTTAAATGTCGAGTTTATGCGTTGGGTACATTTCGTCATATGGCAACTTGCAACTTGTGACGGAACATGGTCGAGGCCTAAACAAACAAAAAAGTAATGGCTATGCTCGATAATTTTTTCCAAGCATAGCAACACAACCCGCTATAACCCCAAGTATACATTGTGATGGATCGATGAAGTGTCACTCTGACCTGTGATCCGATTCTGATTCGATCCGATTGCGATCCAATTTGACACCTGGCCTGTGATCCGATTTCCGATTACGGACGACCGGCGGCGACCGGAACCGATTTCATGAGATGTCGGTGTCATCTAACAGATAAACTGCGGCCATCAGCACCGACTACGGCTGGAACACTGCACAAGACCGTGCAGCGGCGTACCCGGAGGGGGATGGGGCTTTGTGGACATGCCCCCTCCCCCTCTATTGGGGGTGGCGACTCCCATTAGCCTAAAGCCCCAGTGCTTTTGCCAGTTCAAGACTGCGGTAAGGTTTCTAAAACATGGGCATCAAAATACGATCGTAAGTATGAAAAGTTCCCCAAATAAAATCATAGTCCCTATAGCGACAAAAAGGGAACTCATCGGCTGAAAGGTTCCTGCACGCCTCGACCTCGCCTCCCGCTGGACGAGAAACGGTCTACGACAATGCGCCGGAGGTTCCGAAACGCAGCACGCACCCGGCCTCCTCGCCACGTGACAGGCCCGGCACGCCGGCGGTGCGGGGTCGGCCAGACGTACCGACACGGCGCGGACTTGGTGCAGCAGCGAGCTGGCTAGCCGCAGCTCCACGGTCAGCTCCTCATCCCCCTGGCGCGTGTCGGCCGCCGCCGCCACCGTCGTCGGCAGCAGCGCACCGCTGTGCACCACGTGACACGGGTTGATCAGCTGGTCCAGGAAGCTGAGGTCGCGGACCAGCACCGGGTCGTCGTCGATGTTGTCGGCCGACGCTGGCCGGGCCTCGGACCCCGCTGCCGGCGGGGGGGGGGGTCAGAGCCGCCTGAGCACGTACAGGTGGCATGCAGAAGGGAGCGGCAGCCATGCATCGTTCAGTCGCTTTAGCATGTGTGTTAGTCAGCGTATTTTCAGCGAGCAAGGGCACACAAGTTTGTAACTGTAAAGCAACAGCTCAGGGTAACCAACGTCACGGAATCTCACCCATTCGTTAGAAGAAATATCATCGTGTCTGTTAGCCCCTAAAAATTATATATATATATATATATATATATATATATATATATATATATATGTATATGTATATGTATATATATGTATGTATACATAAGTATATATAAGTATGTATAAGCATATATAGGTACGTATATATATACATGTATATGTATGTATATATACATAATTTATGTATTTTACATATATATGTATATATATATATATATATATATATATATATATATATATATATATGCTTCATAATTTGGTCAACAGCGCTGTTAACATCGTCGCCAACTCCGCGGCCCCTCCGCAATACTAAGGTAGTCCGAAAATATGTTACCAGCAAATAACTGGTAATTTATCACGCACTTAGACTATGCTACTTATCCGGAGCATTAGTACTTGTACAAAACGTTTGACAACGTATTCCATTTGTCATTTCAATACGCTTTCTTAAGCACTCCGAAAAACTGTAGTTCATTACCTACTCTAGGTGGTACCTTGTAACGAAGTACAAACTAATGAGCTGACAGCATTAAAGGAGGATGTTGTTCTGAACAACAGCAATGCGAGTGCTGCGTCTAAATTTATCGATGCTTTGGTATCTTCATGAGCGTCTGAAGTTTCTGAATGTGTAGTGAATCATCTTTCAAGTCCACCATTTCAATGAATCGCTTGAGCTTGTGTTACACTCACAAAGCGTCCCATCCGACTTTATTCCTTTTACGATCTATAGAGAACTATATTCCTTTCACGCATGCTCTGTTTCACGATGAGTCGCCACGACGGGCGACACGCACGGCGACTTCCTCTGCATGGAACGACGCTCCCCCGCGCTAACCGCGCAATGGTCACACAAGCTCGAGGCAGCCCAAACCCGCCAGTCGGTGATGAAATAGAGCCGCAGATGACGGGCACGGCGCAGTGGTTCGCGCGTCACAGACTGTGCCGCAACGCTTTGAGGTTTGGCGGAACAGCTGCCGTCGGCCACGTTCACTGCTGCGGATCAGTGGGTCTCCTCTCTCTCTTCTCTCGGATCTGTTGGGGCTGCTCTCTCTTCTCTCGGATCTGTTGGGGCTGCTCTCTCGTGCCTCTGACGTGTTATCTTTCTGGTATCCCGGGTCTCACCCCCGATTCCCAGAATCAACTGTGCCGTGCCTCAGATAGATTTCTTCTTTTGGATCTCATTTTCTGGTCTCTCTTGTCTTGTCTTTTTTCTTGTACTTCCTCGCCGGTATTCTTTTTCAAGTTTTGTTTCTCGCATCTCTTTCTTCGGGACTTCATTTTCAGGCCTCCTTTTCTGTGCCTCCTTGCTCCGGCCCTCTTGCTGGAATACTCCTTCACGGCTCTTCTTTCTGCGATCTTTTTTCTCGGATCCTGTCTTTTTCTCGCTCTTCAGCATTCACGGTAGAGATGCCATAGTGTTAGGCACAAGACGTTTGAAATCTGCTGTATGGACGAATGTTCCGCGGCATTATATCGAAATCACCTACGAAAAGGCGTCATGGGTATCGAAATGTCTTCACCAAAGCCTCAAAGGAGGCTAAAGTCAGCGGGGAATTCGTTTCATCTATGTATGGAAGACCGAAACAACTGCGGGGTCTCATGCCGAGAACCTGAAATCGACGGTAGAGTGTGTATCTTACCTAGCGAATCTTAAATTTTGCACACCGACCTGCAACGGATAGCGCAACGAACATGCGTGTCGACACCAGGTCAGGCCATGGTCTGGAGTTATGGAACAGAAGGTAGTGCTGTGAAGCAGGTGCGTATGTACTGGCTGATAGCGGGCTTGTGATCGGCAACATCGCCATTCCATGTCTACCTCGGTGTTCTTTTTATCTGTCCATGGGCTGGGTGGGGATCGCGAAGAAAGCCTGCCCATGTCACTGAATTTGTAATTTCTCCAAAAATATGCGCATGTTGCATCCTCTACCTGCATGGGGAACTTGCATCTCTGCCAGCTCGCCCTGACCCCTCGCGTTCTCTGCTTATGGACTCGCAAAGAGTGGACTTGGAAATGCGACCAAGGTGGAATCAGCCCCACCGAACCAGGGTGCAGGCGTGCAAGCCTTTGGGGATGGATGGCAGCAAAGTGTCTCGGGAGTGTCATTCTCAACGCATTTGGCCAAGTCATTTAGCGCTGCAAGGTATACATTTCAGTTTTATTCATGATTATTATATTTTGGCTTGCATCATCCGATTGCTTTTGTTATTATGATTGCACATCTTCAAGCTCCCATAAATGAAAGGTTTTTCAACGTATTGACGATCGCTACTTGCGTTGGCTACCAATGCTGCCCGATAGGTTTTCTTTGTCAGACAGTTTTATTTCTTGTTTCTTCGAGTTTGTAGCCTAATGCAGAAATACAAGACACTTCATCGGCCTTATGGCCGAGTGGACAGTGTGCTGGATATGGCAGTGAATGCCAGGCCTTGGTGTGCTTTCGATACCCAATGAAGGCATTTGACCAAACCGAGGAAAAATGTTAAATCGACCAGGGAATGACCTGTCCTGGCATTGCATCGCACGTTAAAGATTTTCCAGGTTTACCCCTTCCAGCAAAATCTCTCTTTAAGTGGAATTTCGAGGATGGAGGGTTTGGGCCCGGAGCAAGAAGCGATGTATCGGTGCACTGTATCAATGTATGCAATGCGACGCATAATGCACCCATATCATAAATAATATCATATCATAATACAATACCGTATCGCGATGTCTGTATTTGGAGAATAACAGCATCATTTGGGGCCATTCGGAAGACTGGATCAGGAGCGACTAGAGCGGGTTCAGCGACGGGCTACGCGTCTTCGCAGGAGAGACATGGTTGCAGTGTATCAAATGTTCCACGGGGGTATGTTGCTGCCGGAAGAGGAGCTCCTGACAGGACACGATTCGGAGGTGACGAGAAGACACCAATGGAAGCTGGGAAAACCTCGAGCTGAGACTTTCCTCCGTCGTAATTCGTTTAGAAAACGGGTCGTTAACGATTGGAACTCTCTTGCACATCCGAACGGTATCGTCTCAGTTGGACAGTTTAAGTCTAGACTTGCTGTCCACTGGGCGGACATCATTTCTGACATTCCGTACTGAACCTGTCCGTAACTTAAGACTGTTTGGTTACCGGACCGGGAGTCTGACGAGACAGGAACCTACAGGCCCAGTGACCTTTTGTGATTCCCGATCACCATAAGGTAGGATGGCGTAAGGTATCCAATTCAATGCATAATGTATGTGATATCAGCGATGTATCCCGACACCAAGTGTTCGGGGGTCCTGGCGCCACAGAGACAACGGCTTTTAGTGAATTCTTCAGGAGAGCGCTGCAGGAGAGGGTTGCATTCACCATAGTATGAGCGAGTGGGATGTGGAATCCTAACGACGAAGCAAAAACGCTATACACGACTCTGTTGCAAACAGACATCTTGAAATCGGTCACCTCCATTTTTAACATTGACCGATTTCCACACACAGTCCTTGGGATCGTCTTTTTCGGACCAGCGTAGATCCCATTAGAGATGCAAGTCATTGGCAAACACCAGGGGCTGTCGACATGCTTGTACAAATAACAGGAACTAAAAGTTTTGAACTATATTCAAATAGAAAGGAAAAGCAGGAAAACGTATCAACTTCATGTCTTTCTTATCAACACTTAAACCTGAAATGTTTGACAAACCAGCAAAATTATCAGTCACCTGTTCTGTTACGTCAAGGGCAATCATATTTGAAGAAAGCTTCGGCTCCGAACAATCATGTTCACCTGCGCCACAGCGGTGACACACGAGCGGTTACAGATCACAGATCACATGTGACGAGCACACGCCATAAGCGAACTACTCACGAGACAACGATGCTACAAAGGGTGAAAACTAGAAGCGTGGGGCGATACAAGCCTCCACAATGAAGCCAGTCTGCTCAGGTCTGGTTCCCAATGACGTATGTCCATTGATTCAACAATTTTTAGGGGAGCCGCATCTCTACAAATAAACCAATTTTATGGTGAGTTTTCGGGTGAGATGGGATTCATGGGTTGTTCTTTAAAATTTGATCACCGAGAGGGCCTCCAAAACCTTTGTTTTTCGCTTCTCAAAAATATTAATTGTATCTTGTTCGTATATGTCTTGTTATCTTACCAATGCGTAATCATGAACTTCGGTTTCAGCTCTGCGCTCCGTCGATTAGATCATCGAAGTGTTCTCATGTAATTATCTATGCATATGAGGACCATATTGTGGTAGTAAACTCAGTTGCCAAGCGCTTAACTGAGTCATCATGATACAAACGAATGCAAACAGGCGGACACCTGGTTTGAACACGACCCGTTGTTTTCCCCCCGCTGTTACAATTACACTGTGCACATGTTTTTTCTTACCATTTCCTGCAAACTTCGAGACAAGAAAGGGATACATTTAACCTTTGACGGCCCCGCTCCCAAGTGTAAGGGTTCCAATAAACGAGGCTGAAATTGCATTCCCTAGGCTCCAGGGGATGGGTGGCCCCAGGGCCCGAGGGGATGTGCGGGTACTCAATGCACCCTAAGCTCCAGGGGATTCACGGGCACGCAGTGCACCTTAAGCCTGAGGGGATGCACGGGCACACACTGTACCCGTCTGGCTACGGGCCTCATAGTAAGACCGTTTTCTTGACTATGGTCATTACTGGCGAGAATCTTTCAGCTTAAGCCTTGGCCATGTACCGTTAAGATATTTGTTTATTGTATATATATATATATATATATATAATATATATATGTATATATGTATACATATATACATATATATACATATATGCATATATATATATATACATATACATATATATACATATATATATATATATATATATATATATTAATATCTAGATTGAGTGTGCGAATGCGAGCGAGGCTGTTTTTTAGTGAAAGCTACATTTATAGACGTCTTTTGTCTGCTGCTAAGCACTCACTTGAACGTGGGACGATTTGATTTTCCAGCGTAATATAGCTTCCACATGCAGACATGATGAAAGAACAGCTCGGCGCCGGTCTGTTAAACCTCTCGTTTGCAAATGGTCCATATCTCTAATGTAACCTATCGTGGGCCAGATGCACGACGCAAAGGTTTGTGTAGAAATTGATCAGTTTGCTCATGAAAGAAATACATTTGTGGTTGTTTGCCTGTGATAGCTTAGAATGTACTAGTTTGTTGGTGTTAGAATCACATATTCCGCCCACTCATGCCCCTGTGACTGCAACATCCGAAACTCTCTTGGAGAAGTATCGTTGGCTGAAAAGCACTATCCCTAGCGGTCATCCCAAGAGGCTAGCCTTTGGTATGCGATTATATAAAGCATTGACACGTATTTTGAAGTATTTCATGGAACTATCCGAAAAAAGATTGTTGTGTTCGGCTCGCCTTAGCGGCCAGCCAAGCGTTGCCTGTGTATATCTGCCTCTGCCAGCAGGGTATCTGCCTCTGGTAGGGGTTGATGGGATAGACTCACCTCCGCGGGATGAGCTCTGAGCCCTTTGAAGTGGATCCCTTGGGAGTCTTGCCATAGGTGCCATTTATGCCAAATGGTCTTCGTGTATGAGGCCCGTTCTTAGCCAAAGCGGTCCGGGAACCTATGGCTCCTTACGTACGGCACCTTTGAACTTCGTCTCAGAAATACTTTCGTGCCGAAAAATTGTGTGCAAGTACCGTTCCCGGTTTTTCAGGACAGCCACCTTTATTGTGGGCAATGTTAGACGTCTGAAATCGTCCCTAATAGCCGTCGCCTCCCCCTGGAAATCGCTAGTACGCCCTGTCTCCTTCTGCACGGGCTTTGAGAGCCTGACCTTTTTGAGGTTCTTGACCATCATGGGTCAGAGCGTCAAGAGCCATTTTGGACATCATCTGAGCGTGGGTTCCTTTCCTCCCCTGCTTGAAAGGCCTCTCTGAAACAAATCCTTTTGTCGGAATAGTTCATCACGGAATTCTCAGATACGATTCATGTCCAGTCTCCTCGCCCCCGGCAGGCCGTAGCGAGTCCATTAGATCTGACGGGGAGGGGGAGGGGGAGGGGGAGGCTCTTTGCGCCTCCTTGGCTGGCCTCATGGCCTGTGCCGTTTATGTGGTCTTAAGTAGCAAATTTTGGACATGGGCGGAAAGCGCGATTCACACTTTCTCCGACGATGGCCCTGACGTGCTGGTGTGTTTGTTTGTTTGTTTGTTTTTGCTTTTTTTAGCTGATGTAGGCAAGTAGCCAAACATAGTTGACATAATTTCATCAGATTTGGTGAATCCTGAGCATACGGTGCTCTTTTAGCTAATTACATAATGTTACTCATATTGGCACCCCCTTTGCCGTTGCAAGCGGCCATCTCTGATCAGTAAGTGTTTAGACCCATGATGGAGGACTCCGCTGAAAGACTCTGTGAGAGACTTTACGTCAAACGACCAATGGCGTCCTCGAACAAAGATTCGAACACGGGTCAGATGCTTACAACCAATATACGCAGATGTGCTTTCAAATTCAACTTTAAAGCACTACTTCCTCTCAAAGTTTAGCATGAAGAAGTCACACATGAGAAAAACTCATGTTTGGAGGAGGCCAGTTCATCGAGCCCAAAATTGCTAATCGCCCTAAATGCCCTAAAACGAGCCTGTGAGACGTCTTAGAACGATAGAGAAAACGGGAAACGCACCTGTTAGGCGGAGGGCGAGGTACACAACGGCGGAAAGCACGAGATGGCCCATCGCTGACGGCTGCACGTGACGCCGACGACGGGACGGACGCCGCTACGGTCGGCTTTATACGCGGCGCGCTCATCGCCCACGACACATGAGAGTCACTCACCTGGCTCTGCGCAGGCGGTGGGCGGCGCCCTCCATTATTCAAGAGCGAGTGGTCAGCCAGCGGTGTCTGGCACCGGATTTGTAGGCGGACATGGTCCGTTCTCGTGGCACTGGGCGGTCTCGTGGCATTGGGGCGTGATTTTGGAGGGAATGTTGATATGGAATGAATCGCGATCGGTGTTGCGTCCACTGCCGTGGATGCAAATTGATGAGTGGCGTAGGCAGTGGTCTGTAGTTCTGACAGTTCTACCGTTCTGCAGACAGTTTCCAGTCGAATCACAGTGTTACATGTAGTGTACGGTGAAGTGAACAAAAGCCCCGATTGCACGGCTGACGATTAATGTTGTCCTTGTCTAAGTCCTGTCTTTATGTCGTTTATCGATTTGAAAATAAGTTTTTTTCTCACAAGCTTTTTGGCTACTTTTTCCGCGTTGAAGCCATCGTGACGTTGAAAATAGGTGACTGTAATTAACCCTGTAAAGTCATTTTCCGAAATCTGCACCCTGTGGCTCAATATTTTTTGCACTATTCAGTGGAATCAATTCATTGTGGTGGTGGCCAGCCACTGCAAACGTAGAATGGCTTGCTGTAACCCACTCACCAAATCGGTTATGACAAAACAACTTCGATAGCTCGTTGTCCCTGACTTCAGTCCAAGATTTGCACCATCCTTGCCTGACGGAGCGACTTCGAAGCTCTCGCCTGATGATAGGGGTATCTTACAGGCTTTCATCTGACATTTTCAATAAATGGAGCATCAGAACAAACCAGCGTATCGCATGAGATCTAAGTTATCTAAATATATCCAAATTGTCTGCCAGATGAATAGCTGGCCTACCAGGTCACGATAACGAGTTGATAGGAGCTATATCGGAAACGAGACGGAATGCTCGTCCACGGAGCTGGATCCAAATAGCAATGGCGTATCAGTCTATTTCGCAACCTACGACTTATTTAGTTTTACCGTACTCCATGCACAAGTAATTCAGCTTCGTCCATTTAGTTCAGAAGACTAAAGAGGTTATAGAAGGAATGACAACCGCAAGTCTCATGGTTTATATAATCATGTATATATAATACATAAATATAAGATGTATATAATACGGCCGCCTTGTGACCAGGCTGACACCGGCAAGCCCAAGACCGTATAAGATGGAGTCAACGGCCGAGTGGCCCCCTTTGACCAGCCAAATGCAAACATAATTTTCATAGAAACGTGATATTATTGTGGGTCCTTCTTACACTTTTCAACAAAAAAATATTGCGGCGAAGTCCTGAATCGGAGTTTCCGTAGGCCATGCATGTTAATTAATTGCGTGCATTCTTTCACCAGTTTCAGGGTTTTCCCCAATACGAATTTAAATACAATTTTTGGACTGCAGGAAAAGTATCGCCTTGCGAAGCGAAAAATGATGGCAGTTGATACTGTGCAGCTCAGGGGATTTAACTCAACCTTCTTGTTGTCTGGTCACTGTTATTTTATAATGCCACTGAATATCTGGCTCACGTAAAACTAGAACTGCTTGCATGATGTGAGTTACACTCATTCAACGGACATTTTCGCGCCTCGCTGGCGCTCAGCAGCGATTTAAGAAGTATGCATATGGTGGTCTCATTAGTAGCACACGTATTTTCTATACCACGCTTGCAACGAACTCAGCCTCACCTTTGTTTTCACACGAAATTGTATGTATTTGATTGAAGCAGCTGGCTCTTACCCTCAACCCCATGTATATATATATATATATATATATATATATATATATATATATATATATATATATATATATATATATATAATTCAAAGTTAACACGTTTGCGTCATGACATAAAATTAAGTTGGAAAATGTGGTACGACAAACTCGGACCAAAATGTTTCGGCGCCACTCGCATCCACGCCAAAACGCTACATTGGATAAAACAGCACTGTTTGACAGGGAGGAGGGGGGGGAGGGCATGCTCTTCATCCCCCCCAAAAAATAGAATACCAGGGTAGGTTGTATAATTCAACCAAATGAATTGAAGTGAAACTCGTTAGCTGGATCCGTTAATGTAGCTGGATGGTTGCCGACTCGCAGAAAGGGGCGTTCATCGTGTGTAGCAGTGCACCCACCAACACTTAAGCGCCAGGTCCCGTCATAATAAAAATCGTGTCTGGCAGCTTAGAAAACCACCTGCAAAAAATATCAATAACTGAATGGATAATCATTGCGTACTGGTGTTTTTGGTACTGTTGGTACTATCATTGGTACTGTTGTGCGTACCCTGTGTGTTTTTTTTGGCCTCGAGGTCACGTGCCTAGTGTGTAATCATCAGATGTCATATCGTCGTTTGTATCTTACTTCTGCAGCGTGGGTGAGCATTATTTAAAGCCGAAGTTTCCTTTTAGTGGTATTCCCCTCTAGGTAAAAATTTCCATTTTAATGGCACTCTCCTCGACGTAAAAAACAGATGTTTTTTTTTAATTTTGCGGGTTTGTGGAATGTCTTGTTTTTTAAAGACCGGCGCTGAGGCGCCCTTAAATGGCATGACCCATTGTATTACCTATTTCGATATATACCATGGCATTTGCGGTTTGTGTTCCTTCTTTAACATCGGTAGCCTTTTTAATTGAATGGACGAAGCTGGATTACTCGTGTATGGAGAACGGTGAAGATAAAAAATCGGAGGTTGCGGGATAGACAGATGCGCCATTGCTATTTGCATCCAGCTCCACGGGCGAGCATTCCGTCTCGTTTCTGATATTGCTCCTACCAGCTCGTCATCGTGGCCTGGAAGGCCAGCTTTTCATCTGGCAGGCAATTTGGATATACTTAGATAGCTTAGATCACATGCGACACGCTGGTTTGCTCTGATTTCTGATTTCGTTCTGATTTATGATCTTTCGGAAAGTTAGATGAACGCCTGTAAGATACCCCCTATCGCTCGGCGAGAGCTTCGAAATGGCTCCGTCGGGCAAGGATGAAGCTACGGTGCTGCATCGTCTGTAATGGCAGCACCACGCGGCAGGCACATCGTGCCAGGCTTTGATAATTCTCACGTATCCAAATGAGGGATAAATTGAGATCAGTCAGCATGATCCATCATTTTTTTCAGTTACGCCTAGGTCTGTCAAACGTCGGTATTGATCAATGAAGTCGGGTGGGCCTGATAGGACGCTGAAATTACTATTAAACGTGCCCAGCTTTGAGTCACACTTCTGTATTTTTCACAATCAGCGGGAAGCAAAAGCCAATAGTTTCGATGCATGAAGTCAACGTTTGATGAAGGCTCTAGTCAGGCTTTGTTTTAGTGTAGTTTAAGAATAGCGTAAACCTGTCCAACTGTATACTACTTGCATAGTATACGCTTGCGGTTATCATGATTTGCACTTAGTTTATGCTACGCAGAGCAATATTTGCACAGCATGTATTCGTAGTCAATGCAGCGTGAATAAATAACATCAGAAAGGCTGCGAGAAAATAATATGTGTTGGATATTCGGGGCATTCTACGACAAATCGACCGGAGGGTTGCACGGCACCACCTTCAAATCTAACGAAAACACGTCTATAAGGTAATAATACAGTCAAAACACGACTCCGCTTATTTTAGATTCGTGCGGTGCACCGACAAGGACCAAGAAATCAAAATACGCGATGACGTCACGAACCCTATTTTATCAACTTTCTCTAGTGAACACAGTTTGCGAGTATATGATTTAAGAAATAGCATTGGAAAGTTTAATACCGATTTTTTCTGAAGCATTTGTCAATGAAACATTCAGGGTTAACTAGGTACATATAGTGACCTAGTGTGACATTTGACCTTTTTTGTGGACAACACAGGGCCTTCGATTGTCTTTAAACCAACATGAAATCGAGGATCTGTATTGCCGTTCAGACTAAAGAAGAGATCGGTAGGATCTCTGCTAGATCGGTTGTAAATCGAATTTGAGCATCGGTGGATCACGCCATGAACGGATCGCTCGGTATGAGTTGACAGGGCGCGATCGGTTCACTTCGTCGGGAACTGTGACCATGACCTGTAGACCAATCATTTCAATCTTAAAGCCAGTCACTCTGACAATCTTCCGGAACTGTAGGACAGTGTCTGAATGACAAGTGCGTGTGAATGACCTCATGCACCTGTCGTCTCCCACAGTTCGCGTAGATAGCAAACGCCATGCGCTCGGAGTCCTCACGGCATATCTTTAGCCATCATACAAAGTTGAGATTTAGCTCGACACAAGAAGAAACGAACGACTGGCCCTAAGTGGCAGCATTTGTGTTCTAATCTGGCTTGGAGACGGAGAAAAGTTGCTTTGTGGCATTGTTCGGTATGCCTGGAACCGCACACATGCTTTCCGATTTGTCTTGCATTTATTTCAACGCCGGCACCTAATATAGAAGACGAGACGGTCAGTGAGTGTAGCGCTTCATTGCCGAGAGGTCAAGGAAGCAAACAAAAGCGTGACAACGCCCGCGAACAAAGTATGGGGTGTATGGCTATGATGTTCTGGGGTCGAAGGGGCCCAATGCCCACTTAGAAGGTATCACATTCCCACAAATCATCGCGTGTCAAGACATCCACATCTTGCGAAGAGCCTTTCCGATCCAAATCAGGAACACCACTGCACGTTTCGCGCAGGCACGAGGCTGAGCCCCACTGGCTAAGTGGAGGCGAGGGTTTTACCTTTGTCAAAGCGGAGACGGGTGTTTTACCCTCCTAGCCCCCCCCCCCCTCCCGCCCTCCCCGAGAAGCAACTGATCAAGACCCTTTGGTGCTTTCGTAAGCCTGATGAAGGCCAGGCGTCTGGCCAGGAAAGATGTGTATTTATTGATAGCTTCCTTTGCTTTTTCCCAAGTTGAGTTCTATTTGTTTTGACTGTCCGCTTATTTGAACTTTGCATTTTACTGCTCTGCTTTTAACTTGTTGCCGCGTTGGCTGTTACGTTGTTAACTTCTATCACTTTTGAATGTTAGTCGGCTTGGTTTTGCATTTGGGTTGTGTCCTTTTGACTTTTCGCCATTTGTTTTTGTTCTGGTTCTTTTTGTCCTTTCGACTTCTTCCTTATCTGCGTTTGACTTCTTGCCATTTGCCATTTTGTCGAATTGAATTTTTGACTTTTTTCTACCCTCCTTACATGCGTATGTGCTGTGGGAGGTGGTTGCTGCAAAGGTCTGAAAAAACCCAGCTTATCTGTTTTAATGAGTAATTTTTAACCCATCGTGATAGTAAACGCTGCCATAGGGCCTATGGATTTCATCACATATAGTCATACGTCGAAGCAAAGCAGTAAAATGAATGGTCCAGAGGCATCATTTGAGACGAATTGATTTAACTGGCCAACGCTCTACTCACTATGACAAGATTAGCTACTGTCCAGCTTTGAAATCCTGCTCGACAAGTTCTTACCGCGGCTAGCTTGATGGTAACTATTCCAAAAGTTTCGAGAAGCCCTCCTTACCGTCACTGAAAACAAGAGCACTCTAATATCCTCACCGTCACTTATCAATGCTGCCGCAGTGTTTTGCGATGTTTCGGTGAGACATGCTACGTAGGCCATACATCTAGCACCACACGATTCTCCGCTCAATTTTCTATCAAGACCAAACAATTTATTGCCGCCGGCACGTGGTTGTGGAGATGTGAGCGCGGTTTCGAACGGCTGTGTGACTGTTTCGCGCCGTGCACATTCTCCCACCGCATGTGCAAAGCCTG